GATTCCGGCCTCATGGATCTCATAGCTGCAATTTTAAAGTTTGGATTAACGGCAATAAGCGGCCGGAGCAGCCGGCAAGTTGTTCTAAAAGGTATTTTACGACAATTACAACAAATAACATTACGTCGCGCGTAAAAATATTTAAAATATGATGATTTGTGTTATTTTGGTTAGCAATACGTCGAGAATGTTATTAGCAACGCGATACGATACACGGATGTAAATAGAAATGATTCGTTTCAGGTTATGTTGTATTCTGTATGTTTATTGTTGCGTATGTATTTTGTTATAAGTATAGTAAGTACACGTTAATTCGCGTTGAGATGTCGGGAAGTCTCAATTATTGAACAATAAATATTTTCCATTTGGTAATACAAGTTGACACAAGTGTCATCTTGTCTTTGTTTTTTACTTGAATGTTAAGAAAAATAGAATGATATTTGAACACAGTGTATGACTTAACGTGACGAACAAATTGTTTCTATTTATATTTATGTATCACATCGCATTGCAACGAGCACATTAGCTGCTTTCTCCATTTGTGACGACTATATTTATGTGATACATAAATATAAATAGAAACAATTTATTCGCCACGTTAAGTCATACGCTGTGTTTATTGTTGTGTACATATTTTGTTGTAGATATAGTAAATATACGTCGATTCGCTACGATGTCTCAGTTATTGGACAATGTGCCTGATGTAGATATCGATGGCCATGGAAGATTCAAGTATATTTTAATTAACGTGCAGGATGACGTCGGAAAAACTAGCAAAAAGATTGTCAGGGGATATGCAAGAGCACAATGGCATGGTGAGTCCAAAATATGTATATTAAATTTGTTTTTTATTGCTGCAGTAGAACTTTCCTTCTTTTTTGCTTTTGTCAAATATCAAACACATACCTATTTCGCTTTAAGTGCAAAGAAGGTACATACAATTCAGTTATAAAAACAATATCTAATCGCAGTGTTGTAATCAGGCAACATTGAAATAATAACATGATATTTAAATAATTAAAAAACATCTTATAAACATGGATGATAAATTAATTCGTAATTTGTTTATAGCTATTTAATAACCATGAACTTTAGCTATAAATTATATGTAAGTAATTATATATAAAGTTTAAGAATGATTTTAATTAACAATAATAAGATAGAAAGACCGCTTATGTTAACTACAATACTTTAAACTAACAAGGGAACCTCTAGAAGTGACAAATTCTGATTTTAATGAAACTTCGTGAACTTGTAGCTTACATAAAGAGATGAATTTAGAAAATATCAGTTGCGGCCCAAAGAAAATGATAAAATGCTATCATTTCCACACCACCTGTCATGAGGTAGATAGCATGATGTGCTTTTTTTATAGTGGTTTCCCCAGTAGGCCTATTCCGCTCTAATTTTTTTATGCACGAATTATTCCAAATGCCGTCATTCCTTTTGACTACTTTGGAACATTTAAAAATTTATATTTAAAAAGATTTATTATTATCACACATAAAAAGATATATTATTATTATTACATAAAAATATATTCGCACGAGTAATATTTAAAAAATGCTTATCAAAATATTGTAAAATTACAACATCCTTCTCATTTTTCTTAATACGTCATTAATTTAATGATGCAGTTAAATTATTTAACTCAAGAAGATGCTATAATTTATTTACTTACATATGTTAATGTGAACATTACTTATGTTGAAATAAGTACAGAAATAGAATGATTAACATTTTGATGCACATGGAAGTAAAAAGATAATAAAATGTTATTTAACTCAAGAAACTTGAGATTGCTCCTTTGACATCTAACAGTGATGAGGTACCATATATTTCCTGTAATGTATAGGCACATTTTTTGTTATAAAGAGCAATGAATGTATTTATTATAAATTTTAAAACTATTTGTTAATCTCATTATTAATACTAACATGATTATTATATGACAAAATGTTCGCAATTATGATACTCTTCAAAAAAATGCTGCATACAAAAATATTGCTTGCACCAGGAACATCGTATTACAGCAGGTGCACCACATATGGAGCAGCGAGGTATTTCTTGAATATCCTTTCCGTTGAAACAAAAATCTACTGGAGTTTCGAATTGTGGCGGCCGTTCTTCGATGTATCCACTCTTATACCAGGCATATTTAAAAAAATTATGAAATCGCGGAGAAGATAGTTTTATGTGCGTTAAAGATTGTAATTTGATGATATTATTTCTCAAATGTAAATTAATATCATAATTTAATAACATAACGCGATCACTGAAAGTTCTCACAAAGTTTTTCCATAGTCTAAATCCATAAACGTCAAGAGGTTGAATCATTCCCGTTGTTTTCTTTGGTATAGTTAAAATTCGTATATCTTTATCTTTTTTTGGTATAAATTCTTGCACACTTGCAGGACAATGTCCGCTCCAAGAGTCTAACAACAGCACACTAAAACTTCCAGTTGCGGGTACAAATACATTTGTAAACCAAGACTGAAAGTGTAGTTAATTTGCCCGATTTGGATGCTGCAATGTAAACATTCCGACGACAATTACTTTCGCATATGAGTGTGGATAGCGTATATACGGAAGCGTTAATAATTAATTCTCAAAAATGATATATCGTATTGTAACTTTATTACACATGGTTGAATTTATAAAAAAATAATCTTTAATTTGGTAAATAAAAAAATTAAAAATTAAAGAAAATTACGAGTGGTGGGGGTATTTTGTTAAACAAAAAAATTAAAAAAATTTTTTTTCTTTATAACTTTTTAAAGTATTCTTGAAATTGTACAACTTTTATTTAAAAAAATTTTTTCTATCTTTTATACTTCCGACGATATTCGCCTCGAGAAAGAAAAATTCCGTTTTTTTTTCAAAGGGGTGTTTCACCCCTTAAACATGAGTTAGCGCACGTATAAAAAAATACGTGTCTCTTAGACTTTCGCGTTTTACAATATATTTCATGGAGAATCAAATCAGTTCCGGACAGTTGTGAAACTTCCCTTGTTAGTTTAAAGATTTTAATTATAAAATTCGAATAACATATGTTGGAACTCATATGAACTTTTTTGAAAACCCAATATACTTATATGTAGTATTTATTATTTACAATATTAAAGATACACTCTGTACATCTTTATATATCTTTATTATGAATAAGGAAATAATCGAGTGTTATTTGATATTTGTGTTAATACCATTTGGAAATGATTACCATTATATTAATTACTTTTTTTTATTTAATAGTTTGTAATTTTTCGTGTGATTGGTCAGTCAATATATTACTTAGAGACAAAAGAATAGTAATTGTGCAATGTATTTCATTATCACTAAATATTAATGATAAATATAATGGATTTGAAGTTTATATGAAAATAAAAAATATATTTGTACAGTTGTTATTGTAGATATGCATAGATAATTTCTTTTAGTTAAGTTCAAATATACTTTCATTTGTGAATACAATGCTTTAAAGTATTTTACGTTGATTATGAGATCGGAACCTGTCATTAAAATTCTTGCTTAAAGAAGAATTTTCATGATCCTCAAAAAGAAATTAAATTTATAATTATCGAAAGATATGCAATTCAAATTTTATCTAGTGATTGTGGGATAATTTGTGCATTAATTATTATAATAAAAAATAGATCTTTATCTCCTTAAAAAAATTTTTTCGATATTTTTAATTCGATATAAATTACTTTATATAGATGGTTGTAGCTAAGTTTACAATTTATGTACAAGAATAATAAAATGGCTGGGATTCATAGATGGTTCTTATTTTACGACTATCTTAAGTAATGTCTTGAAGTGCTAATATGATAGTCGGCATTCATAGCTAGTTTTTATATTTCATCTTAAGAACAATCTTAAGACATTATAAACCAAGTACATAAGACTGTACTTAAGATGGTCTTAAATATAAGAATTGATTATGAATATCAGCTAATATCTCGAGTATTCTTTCATATGTTTTCGAAATGAATTACTCAGAATCTGATTGAAATGATTAGAATGGCAGTAGGAATTTTTTTATATATTAAACGAGTAGGAAGGTACGAACGCAAACAGTTTTAAGTGATTTACATTCACGAAGTTTTAAGTATATAAGTTAGCGATAAAATTCTTACAAGAATATATTACATATATATGTATATCTTAATATTACTCTACAGTATAAATATACAGGAATATATATTTCTTCGGAGATAATCCTTTTTCGCATGATAAAAGCTATAGATAAAAAAATTACTATACTAATAAATCATAATTTTTCAAATATATTTTCCTTTATATTGAGAAATATAATTTATGTATGATACATTAGTAGCAACTTGGTTATAACAAAGATATGAAACAATAGACAAATTAGAATACTATATTTATGATTGAAACGTTCCTCTTTTATTGAGAGCGATTAAAATTCTGCTACGATCTGTAATACAATAATATAATATGAGTGATATGAATGCATGGCGTATAATTTTTCACAATCTTTCACAAAAATACAGTGTCTTAATTAATCGCGCTTCTATATAATTTTTTCTATGAAATATAAAGCGAAGTAAGTTGAGTGTTTTCTCAAAATTGCATATATTTGATATACTTCCGAATTTGCATTTTATAAAAAAAAAGTAGATATCCATATTTATGTACACTGAAAAAAATGCATGTAATTTTACATGGAAATTACATGTTTATGACTGGAAAATTACTTAAATTACATAAATATTGGAAATTTTCCATATTTAGGTAAATAAAAAATAATAACTAAAGGGCAAAAGTAAGAGTCAATACGTAAAAAATATAGTTTGAAATTGGTGAAACATGAAAGATTGAGTTAGATTCAGTCTGAATATAACTCAATCTTTCATGTTTCAATTTCAAACTATATTTTTTACGTATTGACTCTTACTTTGCCCTTTAGTTATTATTTTTTATTTTTCATATAAAGAGTCCTTCTATTTGTTAAACATATTTAGGTAATTTTCCGATCATAGACATGTAATTTCTATGTAAAATTACATGCATTTTTTTCAGTGTATACAATGATTTTAATGACTTATTCAATTAACAGGATTCACTATACATTATCTTGTTTTCTTTTCTTTTATTTTGTACAATCATCACGAGATTTCTCTATGAGAAAATAGGAAGAATCACAACAAAGGTGCAAAGCAAAATGCTATCAATTGTCACTGACGCTACGAGAATTCTATTTACTAAGAGGCCCTTCTAAAGCAACACCAAGCTCGTTGAATGCTGACGCTAAGTCTACAAGCTTTGTGATTGGAATTCTTGATAACTTTCGTATCACTGCTTTCTCTGACAGACGGCCGCGACATCGCATCGTCTTGTTGCACCCGCTCTCAGGTGCTGTCGCTTTCCTCGCAGTGCTCTATCAGGTCCACGTCAATTACTCTTGACTCCTTCTGTTCTTTAATGGCTTCCAGCTTATTCTCCTTATTTTGATGACTACTACTGCTGTCAGATTTCTCTGTGATCTCATTCGTGCTTTTTTTAAATTCTTTTGGTACCCCTCGAGTAGGGGACGGGAATCCCACGAGATCTGCATCTATGTCACTGTGCATCAGCGTGAACGGTAGCTTCAAAGATACTTCACCACCCATCGCCGAGATGAACAGTTTAACCTTAAAGAAAAAAATAATAAAAAATTGGGAATCTTCATAAAATATTTTTTATAATACTCTGTAATAATCTCATACTATAATTAAATTGGTAACTAAAGTTAAATAGTTATCAATCCAAAATAAATCAATTTGCTTAAATTAAATGGATATGAATCGACAAAAAAGATGTCTTATTTTTCTTTAAAATAATATTGCATTAATTGATGTAACAATACGTGTTTTCGATAAAGCTATACTTTATTTGTATTAATTTTTATCTAAAATAAAGCCTCTAAAATATCATATAATAAATTTTTTCCAGAATTTGTTCTTATAACCGAAAGTTTTTATACTTTTTTTGCAATAGTTCAGGTTTTGCAATGTTTTAGGTGAAAATTATATATTTATCTCCTAAAATAGGTCCATCTGACGATCTTTATATTTCCTTCTTTTTTATATATTTAAAATTACCTTCACATAATAAGATACGTAAATCGTATAAACGTTCCTATCATCAGGTCCGTTTCTAGGATTAGTAACCGTTGATGCCAGACTTGCTCCGGTTTTCGCGTAGCTGTCCTCTAATGCGATCCAATTTTTAGTTGTGCCCTTAACAAGCCTGAGAGTATAAATCTTTCGCAAATTACCACCTGGACCTCGAGGACAGTCCTCTTGCGAGCTCACAAGCGCCACAACATTCTTGAACTTGCCGTTACTGAACATACAGACGTCCACATGTTGTACGACGATTATCTGTAAAATAAACATTTCGTATATTCGAAATGGCTAAGATATCGAGTATCCAAGTTGAAGTTTTTCTTTTAACTTGACGCACCCTGTATCTTTGAAACTAATTGTAATCATTTCAGGTCTATATACCTATATGGTCTATATGGTGTAAAACTATCATCCTATATGTATGTACCGCACCGGCAGGAATGGTGTCCCTCGGCGTTCGGCGTGCGACGCTACACATTCGTATCGAAGTTCACACGTACGTGTTACTGGAAGCATGCAAAGCTATTACAATGAGTCTTAAAATTGCACGTAATTATGCACAAAAATTTTTTACAGTATTAAGAATTTTTATGCATAATTACAACATTTTGTGCATAATAAAAGTATTATTATGAATATTGGCGAGCGGGAGACACTGGGGGATCTCACTCGCGCTAGTAACAAATGTGTGAGACAGCGAAAGGACACCGCAAGCCGACATCACATCCAATTACGCTTTCTCTCTCAACCGTGCGTCTTACGCTAAGGACGGAATATCGGAGCGCCCCCCACTACTTTCTCCCTTCGCGCTCCTCGCCTCCTCCGCGCTTCCAGTAAGGGCCATGGCACACAAAAAAACTTAAGCAGTAAAATGTAAGCAGTAAGCGAATTGACCAATCACAGTAGAGTCCATAAGGCCATAACATAAGCAGTAGCGAATCCAACATGTTGATTTCCTTACTGGTTACGTCTTACTGCCTTAAGTTTTTTGTGTGCCAGGGCCCTAACACGTACGTGTGAACTTCGGTACGAGTGTGAACTTCGGTACGAGTGTGTACCGAAGTGCTACACACTTGTACTGAAGTGCCATGTACCTGGGCCCCTATTCTTGAAAAGTATCGCATACGAAAAACTAGGGAAATGTTATAATATATGTGACGCATACTATAGCATTTCCCTAGTTTTACGTATGCGATATTTTTCAAGAATAGGGACCCTGTTACTGAAAGCGCTATGGCGGCGAGGAGCGCGAAGGGAGAAAATAGTGGAAGACGCTCCGATATTCTGTCCTTAATGCAAGGCGTACGATTGAGAGAGAAAGCATAATTGGACGTGATGCCGACTCGCGGTGTCCTTTCGCTATCTCACACATTTGTTACTAGTACGAGTGAGATACACCGATGTCTCTCGCTCGCCAATATTCATAATAATACTTTTATTATGCACAAAATGTTGTAATTATGCATAAAAATTTTTAATACTGTTAAAAATTTTTGTGCATAATTACAATATTGTATTACGTGTAATTTTGAGACTCATTGTAATAGCTTTGCATGCATTTATAAATTTGCAATGTGCAAATGAAATTAATATTTTGTATCGCAAGATTGCAAAATTAAATTTACAGATAAATATAAGAACATATAATAAAATAAATAAAAAAATATGATGAATAAAATTTATTAAATTATAATAAGCATTTGTTTGTATATTGGCAAAAGAATATATTAAGTAAATATATTGAGAAAATTAATACTCTGGAAATAAATATTATGTAAATTAAAAATTTGAATTTATAAAAATATGTATAATTATGAAAAAGTACTATTTCTACGTTATTTCGCATTACATTGTATCATATTTTATTTATTTATTTTATTATATGTTCTTATATTTAACTGTAAATTTAATTTTACAGTAAATTTAACAGTAACACGTACGTGTGCGAGGGACACCATTCCTTCCAGTGCATGTACATATATCTGAATAAATAATATTTATGAAAGCCAATTGTTATTCTGTGAAGTCTATTATATCCATATATTGGCTACGAAAATTAAATGATTACGAAATATAACTCGTATAACTTACAGGTGGTCAAGGAGTGTCGCTTTGTTTGTTTAACTGTTGGGACAGAGTTAACATGATGGGGTTGCTCGCGCGCCCATCCTTTCTGGCTAAAATATCGGCAGGATGTACTGTGTTCCTATTTTCAAACAACGTTCTCCTGCTGTTAATGAAGTAGCGCTCAAAAGCGATGCGAACGCAATTTCCTGACATGACGTAAGCTTTGGCATCTCATCGGGTTGATTTCTCCTCGAGAGAAATTTTTATTCATACGTTCTCATAAGAAGAAGATGTCGAATAAATCAACATAGATTATCACAGGCAGATTCAATTTGGTATCATCGCCTTTTTGTCTTTTGCTTCTTGCATGTGTGTGAAACAAATTGAATTATAGATTCAACGGCGCGATGTTTTTTCTTGTTTTATCGTCGTTTGTTTGATAGCTTCGTATCATGGAAATGGCTTCTGTCCATTGCTAGGAAAATCGTCGCGATATCGTTTGTACGTTGTTGTCTTTTTTCATGAGGTGGCAAGGTATAGTAAAGAATCGATAGAATATTGAATATAGAAAAACAGCAAATTGTAGGGCATCTACCACATACGCATGATCTTTTTTGGCAATTTTTGTTTAATATAAAAATAAAAAGGTTTTGCATAACGCACAACGCATAGTGCATAAGCGAATCAACTAATCAGAATCTTTCCTTTCCTCCCATTCCATGGAAAAGAAAAATTTCGATTGGTTGATTCTCTTATGCACTATGCGTTATGCAAGAGTCTGTGCTGCCGCCATTACATTAAATTTTAATGAAAGCAAACATATATAATATCTTACAGATTTTTAAAACTGCTCTCTAAATCTGAATCAGTGGATAATCACTGATTCAGATTTAGAGAGTGAACTTCAAGTGATAAAAATTTTAAATAATGAAGAAAAATTGAAAAGAATATAGTAATATTTCTTTAAAAATAATAAGTATTCGTATGTATATTATAAGAATTCGTATACATATATCGCTGATTTGCAAAAATTAGAAAATGTTGCTTGTCATTTTCAAAGGTAAAATAACATTGAATTTATACGAGTATGTCTTTCTTTTCATTCTCATTGAGTGAAAGATTTGTCCTATGACTAAGAATATTCATGAAATTTGAAATATCACTTTATTTATAAAAATCAAATTTCTTTAATCAATAACGTTCTCTTGCAGTCGCGTTATAATTTATGATACATGGCACTGCAGTATAACATTTAACTCTTGACGTTTAACTGTCCGATTATTCGCGCTATTCTATACAGCCGCTATGTTGAAAGAAGTGCAGAAAATGAAAAACAGAGAGAAAAAATGCACGAGCGTTTGCACGACCTGATTCAATTTAATTTGTTTTCTTTGATGTGTTAAAACTTGTTTGATAAATTATTATTACGCAAGTAAACATTCGAGAGCCTACTACACTGAGAAAAATGTACTAGAGTTTAATACACATTTCTTTGAATAGTACTACCTGAACATTTATTAAATGTAAATATATGTATATTTATTTAGTACAAGAACTATTAATTTATTTTAATTATACATATATTGATGTATCATTTTTTGATTTAGTAAATGCTTATTTACCATAAGTAGATGTTAAGTTAGTTCCATTCAAACAAATATTAAAACTTAGTACATTTTTCCTCAATGTAGTTTGATGGCAGTGATAAATATATTTATATCATTCTGATATTTTTGCCCATCACATAATATATTTAAAAAAAACGATCAATTTTCCCAAAATTCATACATAATTTATTATTGGTTGATATATAAGGCACTGTTGAATTATCAAAAATTAATTTATTGTTCATTGAATATTAGATCACTTTTTAAAATTACTTGCTCAAAAAGCGTCAACGAAAAACTACTTATTAAAGTTTGACAAGTCACGTAAGTAACGGTGTTCTTATTAAGATATTGATGCAGCTTCATTGAGCTCGTAGGATATGAATGTTTTAAATGTGCTTATTAAATTTGCAGAAGTCTAAGGCGCGCGCGCGAAGCAATAGTTAATTTGAAAGCTTGGAGTGGCACTATTATATATATATATATATACTCTAATAATTAATAAATAAAATTGTATAGCGAAGCCAAAAATGTATCATTAATTTAATTCTAATTTAATTAATTAAAATCATTTGTAAACACATTTATAAATTACTCGTAATATTGTAACTGGTGCAGAATGAAATGGTGCAAACTTATAACTTTTATAAATATTTGAGAAAAAACAATAAAAGATAAAGAAAAATGAAAAAATAGGTAGATAAAAATCTTTGTAAAAATAACTGTTTAGGATCTTTTATTATTGTAATATCATTTTTAGACCGTGTATGTGAGAGACACAACCGATAAATTAAAGCCTTATACGGTCGAAGCTAGATCTTAAAATGCTTTAAATAATTCAATCTTGAATCACTAAATATGATATATATGTACTTGACATATACACCACAATTGTAGTTTAACTTTAGTTTTATTATTATTTTTTTTTTCAGGAAATATTTTCATTGAAATTTGGCAGTCTATATTCATAAAGCAATTTAAAAGTGTTCAATTTTTTTCAAGATGTCTCGGTAGATTAATTTTCTTGATTCTCTCCGTATGACTTGGCTTAGAATACATTTTTTATTCCGTAACTTTTAGAATAAATGTTTAATTAAATAAAGGGTATAACGACTTCAGAACAATTTTGTAATTTTTTTTGCATATCGAAAGTTCTCATCGCCGAGCACGATTCTATAAGAAACATCAATTGATCCTTTTAGGAATGGTTAAGCTTATTTTTCTTCGGTTCCATCACGCAGGAGATCGTAATTGGTTTTACGAGTGGCCTCTTTTACATTCGACATCAGACATTGCGTGTACAGAAAGTCGTGACAAGAAAAAAACAAACGGAAAGAATGAATAAATGGAAACGTGCGTGTGTCTGATAGGGAGAGAGACCGGCAAACGCCCCGAGGCATGAATACCCAAGTATTTGGATCTCCAAGGAGCATCAAAAAAGAAACAATTGATGGGATTCGCGTCTGGTGCTTTTTGAAATATTGATTGTCACGCAGTAGTCACTGAATCATGAGCTGGTTCCGTTGACGTTTCACGAAGTAGAGAATACAATTTCCTATAATCTAACCTACGATCGCAATTAATTATTTTAGAAGAAAAGAAGAAAAATTCGCTTATTGTTGATTGTTAAAATAACGATAAGATCGATAGGTCGCTGGTAGGTTATAGCCTTTGACGTAATGGAGCAAACGCGTTTTAGTTAATTCCTGATTGATTTAATTAAGAGTCAAGAATTTATATACAGTATTGCCTATTAATCCACAATTATTTAGAAAAAATTGAGTTTTCAGCAAAAATTCAGTGAAAAAATTCCGTAAACCAATTCTTCCTGCGATAAATGATTCTTTTTTTCATATACGTCAATATTGTTTTGATTGAAAAAGATTGCTTTTTTTTTACTTTTGCAACTAAACAATTAAAGTTGTAAAACGAAATAGTGCGCTATTCTGAAAGTAGTGACAAAAAATCTAGTTTCTAACTTTTTTTCCAGTGTTTCCACATGTAAAATATCAAAATGTAAATCTTGAGTGATCTAATCCGAAAATTTATACATGATATTTGTCAAAATTATTTTATTGCAGCGACTAATTGTACTAAACCATAATAAAGTATGAATTATTTTACAATGAAAAGTAAATAGTAATAAAAATCCTCTTTGTTAAAGTTGATAAAGAACTCTCATTTATCGTTTTATGTACAGCGGTCATTGATTAACATTTTATATATTGCAGTTATTAACTAAATAAAAAGTTTTTTTCACGCACTTATATTTTTTATCAATTGAAATATGGAAATATAAGTAGAACATATATTTTATGTGCCATACACTGTATTTAATTCTTATTATTTAGAATAGTTTTGATTAAATTTCCGTCATGAAGCATAATGAAGATGAATATGACTTGAATAACAAGTATGGATTATATATGCTTTAGGGTAACTCCGGCAAATACGCCGCGCTGTGATTTACGCCGCAGAAGTCAGAAAAAATAGGAGTGGGGATAATTTTCCCGTAGCTACTCTGTTACATGCCTTTATGTTATATTAATATTGTGTTATGATTTCAGCTTCTTACTATTAATATTAATGAATTTATTGTGAGTTGAATCGATTTGTCACTGTAATAAGTAACGCCATCATAAGTTATAATCTACATAAAATGATTAATGTAGGACGTGTAAAAGATTTAGTGGTTATTTCGTGATACATACGTGTAGTGGAATAGTAAAGCATGTTTGTATTATTAAAGCACGTTTGCATTATTTGTAAATTTTTCATGAGCCGTACATACGTACGGCTTTCCTCCTATGAGTAGCCCTTTCCCTCTATGAGTAGCCATATATCCCACCCCTATGAGATATGCGGCAAAAATACAAGGTTTCAAAAAGTTTATTTTTTAATATGAAAAATAAATATTTCGGATTTCTAATATTTTTTTCATAGTAGTAGACAGTACAAAGTTTTTACTGATATAATTCGTTTACTATAAACATAGTAAATAATACTTAATAAATTAAATTTTTGATAGGTGCGGCGTATATACCGGAGTTATCCTATAATGTATTTATAATATAGGTAATATAATATATACTTCAAACAATATATGTATATATATATATGTATATATATACAGGGTGTTTCAAAAAAACGGATCGAAATACAATGGGGACGTAGATTGGATCAAGGGGAACAAAACAGTTTTGTACCATTTTACAGTTGACGCAATATTTAACGAGATATTAATGTTTAAAGATAGGCGAATACAAGCGTACGACCAGCCTACTCATGTACTGCTGCCGGCAGGACGGTCTACCGTCCCCACCGATCGCATGATGCGCCGGCCGGGAGGCGTGGGCGGGCCGCGAGGTGCGGGGATGGCCTGGCAAGCGAGCCACTCAGAACGGCGCGCATGGGGAGGAGAAGGATAGCGCTTGAGCAGTAGGCTGGTCGGACGTTTGTATTCGCCTATCTTTAAACGTTAATATCTCGTTAAATATTGCGTCAACTGCAAAATGGTACAAAACTGTTTTGTTCCTCTTGATCCAATCTACGTCCCCATTGTGTTTCGATCCGTTTTTTTGAGACACCCTGTATATATAATTTATACCTTTATTCTCCTTATTGATTTGTTGCTATTGTTGCTAACATTGACGTGGACATTGATTAAATCTCCGTGTTCGTAAATCGCATGATCAAGTCCTGCTTCCAATCTAACGCGACCATCACTTAATAAAAATGGCTTTTCTACTGCCGCATGTGGTCCCACGTTCTCTGCGAAAATAAGAATGAAATGTGATTTGTAATTTACTTTGATTTGTGCTCCGCATTTGTGATAAATGAGATGAGATCGGTTTACTAATGAGAGAATAAGATATGCAGTATCTTATAGTAACTTTACATTAAACTCGAGATATGGGCTATTTGAAAACTTCTGAAATCAAGCCTCGGCTCGAAGATTTCAATTCAGACTGTATTATAATTACAGTATCATTATGCCGCATTGGAAATCATAGATTTACAGCACATTAAGACACATAATAGAAACTACATGGAAAAATAGTTTTGCTGAAGAATTTAGGCAGATACAGATCTGAAAATAATTTTATTGGATTATCAAAATAATTATATAAAACATTTAAACGTTGCTGGCAATGCAAATGTAAAAATTTTTAACATTCTAGCAACCAGTTTGAACATCCTATTATTTTGATGACTCAAGCAAAATTATTTTCAGATTTGCGTTTAACTAAATTTTTAGTAAAATCATTTTCTTACGTGTACATGGAAAAAACAATATGGTTGGTCTACATAGAAATCTGGTGATGCCAACCAGAAGTTAAATAGTAAAATATGGAGCAACTATATATGTGGTTGCTTGAATCATAGTACAATGATTAGGTTAGGCTATGTTGCAGCAATGACGGCATTTCACATATACGTATTTTTAATTGTAAGCGTGATAAGCTTTTGCTTTTTGAAATTGCAACTTAATTTATAGCATGATGTAACAAGAAATTCTTATTAATAATTTAATTCTTATTATTATACATCATGCTTTACAATGTCACGATTGACGCAACTATACGGATGTATAACTTATCCACAAACAATAAATAATTCCCCAACCAAGTTTTGGTTGTCACAACCAAATCGCGCCTAATTACATTGATGTAGTTGACGCATCAAAATAAATAAATCGTATCAACGATACACATTTCCTATCACATAAAGATAACTCGAATGATGTTTCTATATTGCTCACAACTAAATATTTTTAGTTATGTGAACTATATCTTTTTTTTCCGTGTAAGATATAATACAATACAGATAATAGCAATAATTAAAGCTTGAAGTTTAATGATAAGTAATGTTACGTTATTGTACGCGTTGTATGAGCATATCACGTTAATCGCGAACTAACCATCATCCTCAATGATCTCATTTTCCGCTAACGCCACTCTTGTTTTGGATCCTTGAATTCTCAAGCTAGTCGATGGCTCTCTCGAGAGAGGTACACTGTACATAGTCGTCGAGGGTAAGGGCGGCTTCGTGGCTCGTTGGATCACCCGAATGCCCATCTTGACGGTGGTTTTACGATGCAAGCGTTCGTCCGCCCGTTCCGCTGAAATCCGCACAAAATGTTAATGATGCATATAACGATGAAATAAAGGTGAGAGCTGGTGCTAACCGTGAGTTCACTCACAAATTCATCGTTGCGAATAATTGAGCAAATGTTTCGAGAAAAAGATTTTGTTGTTGTGAGAGTTGTTTATGTTACAAATTTAAACCTGATATTTTTAAATTCATTTCCTTTCTCAGAAATCGTCATTATATGATTAGCTATAATAACCCGATTGGTAAAAATTATTTTTTATTTCTAGAAATTACGCATATACCATAAATATGAAGTATTTTAAGAATTCTAATAATAAGATAAGAACTTTTAAGTTGACTTTATATAATATTTGGAACAGAAATAAAAAAATTTACAATCTCTTTCTTAGAAGAAATTGATTAAAATATGCTTATTTCTTTACGTTTCGAATTTTATGAGTGTAAGCACAAAATATTTTGTTATTTGAGATGTTTCAAATTCTTATTCCTGCGTAATGTGTGTGTTTGAGAGATGGAGAATACATTCCCTTCGTTTGTAAATAAAATTCCTACTTCGTTCACGAACGTTCGTAATTACACCTTGCTTTGAATTGTGGCGTGCCGTTGTTTTTCATTCGAAGTGCATACATTCGTTAGGATCGAGAAAATAAAGCTCAAGGAAATCAGCAAGCTTTTTCCACTCACCAACGTAAACTCTGACGTCGTAGCTGTTACCTATAGGCGGGCCATTGTATTCCTTAGCTGGTACTAGTTGTACAGATGGTGGAGCGATTGAGGGAATTTCTATGGTGAACGCATGTGCATTGGGTCCTAGTCTTTTGATAAGTGCTTCCTGTATAAGAAAGATTTCAGGTCAATTTCTTTTTGCTCTTTCTATTAGATAGTTGCTAGAAAAATTGTAATGCTTTTCCACGTCGTAAAAATTCTTACGAAGATTTCTCGTTGAGACAGATTCGATGAAAAGAAAATATATTTTTACGTCATTCAGAAACAATCACCAATAACCATCAATTGTTATTAGAAAATATTCTGATTATATATTCTGTGAGATATAATAGAGTGAGATATAATAGAAATAAGGTAGATTGCGAGATAATTGTATTCGCGTTCGATTATCGATTCCGCTGTGCGATCCAGAGCCGGACCAATAGTTAAGCTTGTGACACGTGACGAGTAGATGTTTTTTTTTATTAACGTTGCCAGGCGAATGCCCGAGCGAAGCAGTCACGATACAATCGCCGTACGGAATAGACCTTCCGTATAACCCTGTTTATTTTTGTTTTCCTGAATAATTATCTTTCACGCATACGAAGAGTGTCAGTTATTCATTTCGCTTAAGCCATCCATAGAAGACATCCCCTTACAATTCTGATTACGTATCCATTTTAAATCGTACAGGAAAAAATACAATTCTCTATCAGAGATACAATTCTCTATCAGAGAATTGTAGTATATTGTTGTCGAAGAGAATTTTTATTTAAGTTATCTCTTTCTCTCTCTCTCTCTCTCTCTCTTAACATTTTAGAAATATGACTTTGACCTACTTTATTTTAATAACTTGAGGAAAAGACAATTTCAAGTCTTTGTTCGTGTATGTATTTATATTAAGCATAGTTGAAGTGATTTATCGATAATCAGAAATTGTAAAACTTTCTACAGGATATAGATTATCATGTATACATATAATCCATATTATTCCATTCCATAAAGTAGATTATATTGAAAACTTGAGAGAAAGGTATGCTATGCATAATCATTTTTCATTTAAAAAATTTATTTCAGTTAAAATAAAAAAGATTAAAAAAGAGAGAGTAAAGTGCTCAAAAAAAACTTTCAGCAAAGCTATATTTGAAATAACACATATGAGAAAATAAATATTAATACCTTGTGTATTACATTTATCAATACATGTATAAATTTTATTAAATTTATACGAAATATTACATTTCACTCTTATTGTTCTTTGAATGGGAAATTGATTTTATATCTGAATTATACAAATAAACATTAATTTATTTTATGGAATTATTATCAAAACTAAACATTATTTAATTATGTACTTATGGAATAATTATATGTTTAATAAAAGCGAATAATGCCATCGAAAGCTTTGTGGCTTTGCAAACGTAAATACTACGAAAAACTGTTTATATTTTAATATTTAATGAATTATAAAATATTTATAAAGGGAAGAAATATGAAAATATGGATTATTGATCTGAATATACATATACTTAAAGTTGATGTTCATTGTAACATTATCTCATTTTTTACTCTGGTAAATTCTTTCTTCGATCTAATTAAATTAATTTAAGTCGAAGAGATTGTAAATTTTATAGGAAAAACATGTTTTTCGGGATTTAATTGACATGGGAGTCCTTGGCTCTTTCAAATACCACGTGGTTTCTTTTTCGCACCTCGAAGAACATTAGCCCCCTGAAGATCATTAACACAAGTAATCACATATATAGTGCAAATTATCAAGCACAGCATTCATTAATATAATTTTTTTAAAAACAATATATATTTTGTGATTTTAAAACATTAAATGTCAATACGTGGTCAAAATTTAAAAATAATAATAAGGTCAAAGGCATACACCACGAGCGCTCGATGTCGTCAGCGAACCTTCTTTCGAAGTCTATACATTCACATTCAATTAATCGTATTTGTTTAATAATAATTGAATAAATTAATATAAACGTTTCGACCTACTAATTGGGTCATCATCAGTATATAGCTAGCGCAGATTAACATAAATTTAAAAATTAAGTTTCATCCTCTATCGCGTCCGTGTGCGTCAAAATTTCAATTTTACACCATTCCGTTGTGTGTTTTTTTCCATATAATTTTCATGTTCCACAATGATATACTAGTCCACAAAATTTCCAGATTCTGTAATTCGTACTAGTTAGATTCAATTATTTTAAATTATCTTTTTTATCAATATAATACCTGTGTTCTTGTAGATTTGTGAATGTTTATTAGCAGCAGTGGATGACATGTTATCGCAGAATTTCTTTGTGTATTACCGCTTCTCATCATGATATACTGCTTTAAATTAACTATTTTGTAAGGGAGAGGGTAAAGTTGATGTTAAGGGGGGGAAGTTATGTTCAGTAAAGGAAAATAGATTTCTGGTAATTTTTCGGTGTCGCTTTGTTTATTCATACCATTTATTTGTTTTTTAATATGAATCATTTCCGACGTCATCCTTTTTTGGAAATACGGTTCTATATCCAGTATTTTAATGTTCTCCCAATTTATTTTATGATTTTTGTCAATTTGATGTTGAGATAATACTGTGAGTGCATCATTGGATCTTTTTATATTGGATTTGTGTTCTTTGATTCTTGTTTTAGCTTTTCTTTTAGTTTGTCCAACATAAGAAGCGTTGCAATCCTGGCAGCATATTTTATAAACCATCTCGCATTGATCCATTCTATCCAGTTTATCTTTCTCTGATTTTATAAATCTATTTAGCGTGTTTATCGGTTTGTATGAAATTTTAAAGTTATTTTTTGAAGCTATATTGCCAAATTTATCAGAATTTTTAAATGGAATTGTGAAATATTTTTTCTTATTGAGTTCATTCAATTGATTATTGTTGTTGAAATTATTTTTATGTACATCTTTTCTAATAGATAATTTTTTGATTCGATTATTAATTGTGGAAAATATTATGTCTAACGGATAACTATTTAATATTAGAGTGTCTATCATGGATACTATGTTATTTTTATGGAATTCCGGATGCGAAAGAAAAAGAATCCTATCTAACTGGCCTATTATCACACCTCTCTTATGTTGAATTGGATGATTTGACATATAGTTGAGATATCTCCTTGAGTTTGTAGGTTTTTTGTATAATATATGTCAAATTTGATGCGACCATTATTTGTAATTACTTTGACATCTAGGAAATTTATGGAATTGTTCTCTTCATGCTCCACCGTAAACTTTAGTCTATCATGATAAGAATTAAATTTGTCTAGTATTGTATCAATCTGATTGTCTGGAGCTACCAATAAGATATCATCCATATAACGATAATAAATTGATATGTTTATATTTATTTTGGAAAATACATTTTTTTTCCAAGTCTCGAATGACTAAATTCGCTAAAATTGGAGATAACGGAGATCCCATGGGCATGCCAAAGATTTGTTTAAAATATTTATTGTCAAATTTAAAGTACGTTGAGTTTACGATCAAGGCGATAGCATTTATAAATTCATTTATCGGAATGCTTGTATTCTTTGTTATGTCTGTCTATCTCCTTTCAATGCTGTTTGTTAAAAGATCTGTTGGAATGTTTGTGTACATGGATACAATATCAAAAGAGACCAATTTGTAATTAGATTCTAATGTATGTCCATTTAAATTTTTAACTAATTCGAAACTGTTTTTTAAGTCCCCAAATTCTTTTTTCATGCTTTTATTAATAATTGTTTTTAAGAAGGTTGCTAGTGGGTATTGAGGACTATTTATGCAACTGACTATCATTTTTAAGGGATTACCATTCTTGTGAATCTTCGGCAACCCATAGGATCTCAGTACCCGTGCCATCCGTTACATTTAATTTATTATAAGTGGACTGATCTATGTATCCCTTTTTCTTCCACCTAGTCAGCAAATTATGCGTTGGTTTCGTCATCATGTTTAAAGGATCTTTATTAATGTTAATATATGTTTTATTATCTGATAATATTTCAAGCATGTTTTTTTGGTATTCATTTAAATTTATTATTACAGTCATATTCCCTTTATCAACTCGTGTAATTAAGATATCCTGGTGTTCTGATATGAATTGTTCTAAACTAATTATTCCTTCTTTTATTAAATTGTTATCTACGTTATCTACTTGATTGTTGTACGTAATCTTCTTTAAGGTTTGAATTGAATCATTTTTTATATTATTTTTTGTGTTACAATCTAATTTACTAATATTATTTTCAATGTGTTTAATACATTCTACGATTATCTTTTCGTTATTCTTATTATTATTATTAGATATGTTAAATTTTTGTCCTAATTGCAATACAGATTTTACGTTATGTGGTATCTCTACATTACTAAGGTTAACTATCCAGTCATTGTTAATTTCATTTGATTTAAATTTATCATTAAAGTCTGGAGGACTAATATTCGTATGATATATTGTTTCATGTTTAGTTGTACACCGGTCATGTTTATAATTATTTTTGTTATTAGACAGAATAATTTTTGATATGCTATTATCGGATCTTGACCATAATAATTTAAAGTCTATCATTTTAATTTTTAGTTTCTTTTGATTGGCTGTGATTACTCTTAATTTATTTAATTTCTTGTTTATTCTAATATTTTCTTTTATCCATAATTTATTAAAGTTAATTTCTTGCCTACTAAAGAAAGCAAGGGATACATGATCAGGTAGAGAGTCTATGATGTTATTAGTCTATGATGTTTAAAAAGTTTATTCCTAGTGTGAGTTAACAACTTGTAAGCATCGTTTAGTTTTTCTTTCGCATCCGGAATTCCATAAAAATAACATAGTATCCATGATAGACACTCTAATATTAAATAGTTATCCATTAGACATAATATTTTCCACAATTAATAATCGAATCAAAAAATTATCTATTAGAAAAGATGTACATAAAAATAATTTCAACAACAATAATGAATTGAATGAACTCAATAAGAAAAAATATTTCACAATTCCATTTATAAATAAAAATTCTGATAAATTTGGCAATATAGCTTCAAAAAATAACTTTAAAATTTCATACAAACCGATAAACACGCTAAATAGATTTATAAAATCAGGGAAAGATAAACTGGATAGAA